CGAATGAGCGATTTTGAATGTTCACCGCGACATTGAAGTCAGGGGTTTCACCAAAAAATTGAAATTGGGAAGAGGTGTCTAAATTTGTAGGGGTGGGGCATCAAGAATGGAGGAGTCACTGCAAATTAAAGGAGTGCCATGAGAAAAACATGGGAGGGCGGGGGGGGGGGGGGGGGGGAATCATTTACTGAAGTTCAAGCGGAGGACGTCCTGGATATTCTTTGCTGTGAACGCAGGTGCTGCATATTAACTTGTAGGCGCTTGGCATAAATGAGATGATCGAGAGAGCGTGTAAATTTCTTTTTGAAATAACTAGTCACAGGTACTTTTTTATTTGTGGTAATTTCTAGTCGAAAGCATGTAATTCTGATCTACTCAATGTGTGCGGGAGTGCAGCGCCATCCATTACTTGTAGTGCAGCTGTTTTTACAAATCATTTATTATTACTTACATCACTGACATTGTTTTATATTATCACCATGTGTTCATTTATGTTCGCTTTGGCTCGATTGAACTGTTTATTTTAGTAAGATCGATGGTTTGTTATACTTGGCCTTCAAATATTGCCATCCTTCCCCCACAAATGTTTCGAAATGTCCATTCTCTATATATCTGATATAAAGTTCCGCATCCCATCAAATGAACATGAATGAAGAAATATTGCCTTTTTTTTTTTTTAATTGAGCATTTTTACCTTAAAAACAGTTTTCCCGAAAGCATACAAGTTGGAGAGAGACCGCGCTCCCCTCTCCTTCATGCCCAGTGCAAATCCGACTGCGTGAGCAAGGGTGCGAGCGGGCCTCCTGGGGAAGGGGGGGGGGGGGGGGGGGGGGGGGGGGGGGGGAGAGGTTTAGAATTTCGAGGGGGGGTTTTGCTCCTTCAACCCCCCCCCCCTCCTTCCCCCCTTTGCCTACGCCACTGCTCCAGCGTCACAGTGGTTTCTAGAAATGCCGTCTAAGAGACAAGACGTAGTACCAATAAATATATCTAGCTTTCATCTGGCTTTGCTCTTCGGTCTCCACCCTGAAAAAGAGTTTTCCGCTGGCGTGTATACAGTACCCTACATTCCTTTTTTCAAAATTTGATTACTTTATTTGCATCTATGTAGTCCTAAAGGCTTCACTCTTTTGTTAAATTTAAGCAAATCGCAAATTGTTTTCGGATGACGCAAAGACGACATATCTGACCTTGACGCAGGTTCTGCATTCAGCGCAGTTCATCCTGCCGATCAGCAACCAGCTTCAAGGCTGAGCCATCAGCCAAGCACCATCCGCTGGCATCAACGCGACCAGGACAGGTCTCTCGCCACAAAACAGCGGATCATCCGAATGCTGTTCGCAGTCGTGGTGGAATTCTTCGTGTGCTGGACTCCACTTTACGTGCTCAACACCGTGTCTCTGTTCCAACCAGAAGCGGTCTACTATGGACTTGGATACCGGGGCATCTCCTTCCTGCAACTCCTGGCATACGCCTCCTCGTGCTGCAACCCCATCACCTACTGCTTCATGAACAGGACGTTTCGGGTCAGCTTCCTGGGCTTGTGCCGCCACTGTTGCCGGACTAAGGGTAAACTCGGCACAAGCCGGCACTCCACGAAGCAATCGTTTGTGTACGTGGTAGGACAGGAGGCACAGTGAGCTCCTGCTACGAGTGTACCATACAGCGAGGAGAAAGGCTGGGCGCCTTTCAGATGGCCGGTCTCCAGCACGTGCTCCCTGACCAGTGCCTTCCACCGTGCTTTGGCTAGGATATCGTTTCGTCGAAATTCATTTCCTGTAATTACGATCTTGTGGACTTTTCATGGACGCACGTTTCATGGACACTAACGTTTCATCGACACTCGTTACGCAAATTACAGGCTGTAGGGAAATTTGTCGTGCATGTGTCAGTGGGGTGCATGTTAACCCAATCTGCACCACCCTCCCCCCCCCCCCCCCCCCCCCCCATCGTTTACTCCACTTCGCGGTGACAGTCTGCGGCGGCTCATCACAAAAATGTTAACCCACCTGACCTAACGTGACCCAGCCGTGCACGCTGCTTCACGGTGACAGTCTAATGCAGCTTTTTACAGGAAAAAATCTAGTCTGACCTGTGTTGATGAAACATTGTGTCGATGAAACATCGCGTGCCGATGAACTGATCTGTCGACGAAACGTCATTCGATGAAGTGATTGCCACCGCTTTGGCTGCGCGTGCACGCTCGGGGCTCATGGGACTCAAAAGTGTTCTTGTAGAAAGTTTGCGCCGGAGGCAGGACAGCCGAAAGACTTCCCCGCCTTTCCTCTCTTCATGTCGTCCCTAGTGGATCCACGCAGCGTGTCTTGCAGTCTTTGAGCACAATGGGCTTGTAGCTCTCAAGTTTCAAGCACATCCCCTGGAGAGCAGGGTCGAATATTTTTAGGTCGCGTCTCTGTCGTGCTGCGTCCTTTCAACGCTCTGTCAGTGCCCGTGGACAGGCACCAGAGGGGTGCTGAGGGACACTGACCGACTCTAGTTTACGCCTGTAAAAGGTGCACAAACTCTAGGACACTGCTTCACGTCAGCAATAAATGGTCGCGTCCCACGGACGCTAGCGGAGGAGCCTCTTCTGTGGTCGCATCTCGTGGCTGCTAAAGCACCCTCTGGCCAAGAAAAACGGGCCTATGCAAGTGCGTGGCGACGTCAAGAAGTATGAGTCTGCTGTTTGACCACATACTCTCATCTACTTCAGCCTCGAGAAGACGGTGGCGCTTTTTGACACGGACGAGAGGGAAGAACAGGACAACACAATGGGATAACTTCAACTGTTTATTATGCGGAAAAACATTAGTGTACATACTCTGCGCCATTGCGTCACTCGACCAATACCCTTCCCCGCCGCTGTTCACAAGAACTGGGTCTCTTTGTCCGCCAAATCAATCGAAGCCATGCTGATGCACCGATTCCCATAACTTTTTATCAGGTCTGCCTCTATGATTTTTCATGCCGTTTTATCCTTGTGTCTACTGGTCACTGTGCATGACTTGAACTGAGGTTTGCATCCACAGTCAAGGCAAGGCATCCACAAATGGCCAACCTGTTGCCCACTCACTTTTTGGTTGTGTTCGCGTAATCTATCGTTGACACATCTTCCCGTCGGTCCCACGTATTTCCTGCGACACATCAGCGAGATCTGATAGACTCTGCGCATGCAACAAACGGGCTACAATGCTTCTTTAGGCAGCCTATCGGGCATTTGCGGAAGGGGTCCGTCAGTCTAGACATCTTGGAGTTTTTCCGGTGCCGAGAAAACCACCTTAGCGTTAACGCGGTTTGCTGTTTTATGCATTTATGATATAACCACCACTTTTTGTATCTTTCGGGCTGTGTCTTGATGTGGACTGTCCTCTACTCGTAGCTTCTTTAGTACTCTTTCGGCAACAGACACCGGGAGAGCTAGACTCCAGAAACCTGGCCGCCATCAAGCGTTCCGACTATTCCTTCAAGCCATGCTGACGCAGTTTCCTTAGGGCATAAAAAAATCACACATTTACGATTCGTCTTTTAACGAGTTTTGAATTTAACGAGTTGAAAGGTATATACAGGGGCTTATTGGGCCTGGGGTGGTACTTCAGCACACATGTTGCTCTGAAAGGGTGAGTGTAATGTCTAAGAACTGTATGACTTTATCCACAGGTAACTCGTGCGTAAGTTAAGGTGTAGTGTACCGCGTGTAATATCGGTTCCCAGAGATCACCAGTCTGCATTCGACAACAGCGCCAGCAGTCATTACCGCCATCATGTGCGTTTTCGCACGTTACGACATACCAAGTCTAGTCTGCAGCAACAATGGGCCTCAGTTTGCTGCCAAGGACATCTCGGACTTCGCAAGGTCCTACAGCTTCCACCACGTCACCAGCAGCCCCCGTTTCCCACAGTCTAACGAAGAGGAAGAGCACATGGTGCAAAAAGCCAAGGACCACCTGCAGAAGTCTTAAAGGGGCTATGACACGAAAATTAAACGGATAGATTATTCTTGAAATGGAATGCTCATAGGCTACTTAGCATATACACCAAGTTACGCAATTTTTAGAGCTCTGATAGTTGCAATATTCAATTTACGAATTTTTATAATTTTCATCTGGCGACCAGGCAACACTGCTCAAGTTAGTCACACCATGGTGTCCATAAACCACGTGACCATGAACACTCTCTCATTCTAGGCGCCCCGATGATCGCCCAAGCTCTTCTCGTCGCGGTACGAACAAAACCGCTCAAACAGCTCGGTAAACTGAAAGCTATTCTCGCTGTCGCCCCCCGGCCGGTTGACCTTCCACCCTGCATGCGCCTGCGAGACATTCCCGGACGACGGTGACCACGGTGAACTCGTCATCGCTGGAGCTCGTCGCCAGCGGGTCGCAGTGAAAATGAACAGCTTCCAACATCTCTTGATAGCAATCACTCTCATCGCTGCTGCGATTAATGTCAAACACTTCGACAAGGCGATCGATGCCGTAGACGAAATCGTCACAGACCGGATGCTGGAAACGTGCAAGGTAAACGAGAGAGCTGAGGCTCGATACGCCAAGAGAGCCCAGTCTGTGAGTGCGTGCAAGTAGACACCACGCTGGAGGCTGGCTACGTCATCAGCCTCCAGGTCCGCCCGGATCTGCCCCTCCGAGGGGCCCGCATATAAATCGATTTATCCACGAAATTATCGCGCCTTTTTCAAAACAAATTTAGTAGGATTATAGGAACATAGAATGGGTCCTAGCAGATAGTTATGTAATATTTTATTTTTGGCGTGTCATAACCCCTTTAAAGGGCTACTCCACCGATTTTTTCATTGTCTCCGATTTGCTTGAAATTTTGCTAAACTAACCAACAAACATCGCAAAAATAGTATCCCAAACATTAGGTCAAAATATTGTTTTTTCGCGAAGTTATTGAATTTACAGTTTTGGTCCTCACCGTGTTTTTCAAACTCGAAGTCTCTACTGGCAACAATGAAAAAGTGACGTCAGTGGAAGGCAGGGTGTCACTCTTTGGGCTGTAGATTTTGTTTTAAACTGATTCGAAGCAGTTTCATGGTGTCAAATGAATGCTTGGGAAGCTCGCTGCAGTACCCGCGCTCCAGCACGGAACAAATGATTGGCATATTCTATTTTTTGGCCCTGCCTGCCACTGACGTCACGGCCCTGAAAAGCGCGCGAATATTTGAATGTTGGTTTTTGCATCATTTTCATTTGCCCATTTTGCAATAACTATTATGAATTTCGCGATTCTAAATAGCATACCGGAAAGAGTAAAGGCCGGGGAGTCAGAAAATATAGTTAGTTGAGGTAGCTCAAAAAATCGGTGGAGTACCCCTTTAAGACCCCTTTTTGGTGTTGCTAACATATCGGGACATTACTGGCATCAATGGTGTCAGCCCTGCCCAGCTTTTGATGAGAAGACGTCTTCAGACCAGACTCCCTCGCACGTCGGAACAGCTCGAGCCGAACTGGCCCTCGTCGGTTGCGGTAACGAAGAGCGACCGAGCCAACCAGAGTTGGCCGGTGGCCGATTTCAACTGACCTAGGACTAGGACGTTCTCTCCGTCCTCTTCAGCCTGGTGAGCAAGTCTGGGTGTGGGACACTACGTGCCACGCAACGGTTCTGTGACCTGCGCAATGCCCTCACTCTTAAGTTGTGGAGACTCCGACGGGCACCCTCCAAGGCAACAGGTTGCAGCTGGTCCCGATCTCTAGCAGCCCAGTGGACTAAGCTATCGGCTCTACTGACAGGACTCCAACGGCTGCCAAGACCGCCCCAGCGACGCCAGTAGTTCAACTAACAACCCCAGCCGCGAGGCACACGCAGGTGTCTCGACCAGAGGCTTCGGCGACTCTCAAGTCACCCCGCGGAATCCGAACACCTAGGAGACTGAACCTCTGAGTGTGCTTTTGGTTTATTTTTAGGAGTTGGATGCTCCTTCTTTTGTTTCACAGAAGGAAGAATGCAGTATATTGATGTCTATCAAATGGCATCACTATTGTTGCTACTGGCACCACTGCATCCGCCCTACGCTATAAAATGCCGAATAAACCCTGGAGGGGCACTTCCCCGCCTGGACTCAGCCGGTGTTGTCACTCACCCTACAGAGAGGATTCAAAGCATTACTAGACTGTTAAGACTGTGCACCGCACGAAACCGCACATAATCTTAAGAGGGTGGCAAACCGTGTTAACCCTTGGCACCGGAAAAACTCTTCAAGGCGTGCAGACTGACGGACCCCTTCCGCAAATGCCTGGGACGCTGCCTACAGAAGCATTCTAGCCCGTTTGTAGCATGCGCAGGAGCAGTCTATCAGATCTCGCTGACATGTGGCAGGAAATACGTGGGACAGACAGGAAGATCTGTCAACGACAGATTACGCGAACACAACCAAAAAGTGAGTGGGCAACGTTGATGGCCATTTGTCGATGCACCGTCATGACCGTGGATGCAAGCCTGAGTTCAAGTCATGCATGATCATCAGTAGACGCAAGGACACAACAATGCGGGAAATCATAGAGGCAGGCCCAATAAAAAGTTACGGGGATCAATGCGTCAGTGTGGCTTCGATTGATCTGGCGGACAAAGAGACCCAGTTCTTGCGAACGGCGGCAGGGCAGGGTATTAGTTCAGTGATGCGATGGCACAGAGTATTTATACCCATGTTTTTGTGCATAATATACAAATAAAGAGCATGGTTATAGGCTGAAGCGTCATCACGTGGCGAAAAATCGACCTAAGACTGGTCCAACGAGCACTACAGTGATTCCATAGCAGTATAAGTGGGTGAAAAGGGTTTAGTAGCAAATACAGAAGAGCAGATG